GTAGGAGGTTTGTTGGTGGGGTGGGGAGGAAACACCTGGGCCCCTCAAGGTGGGCAAGCTGGGGGTAGCCAAAGACATTTGAACCCTCTGTGTCAACCAGCAATGCAGGCGTGGTTAGCCTGGGTTCATTGAAGAAGGCACTGTCAGCTGGGTTCATAAAATACTCTAAACCCTAAGACATGGTTTTATTGTGGTTTGTGAAGAAGCCAAAGTGGCCTGCTTCACGCATAATGCTAAGCCATCGTCCATAGTTTGCCAGCCCAAATGGGTTCATGCTTCACGCTAAACCATAAGCCATAATTTACAAACCTAGATGGTTGGCTTTACTCTTTGTACTAAGCCATGATTTACATACCAAAGTTGGTGTAATCACTAAGCCATAATCCAGAGAGGCAGGCTCACACTTTATGCTAAGCTATGAGCCATGATGTGTGAACCAAAGTGGCTGTCTTCACACTTGACACTAAACCATAATCCAGATGGCTGGGTTCACACTGGATATTAAGCTATAAGCCATGGTTTATGAATCAAAGTAGCTGTGTTCACACTTCATATAAAGCCATAATCCAGATGGCTGGGTTCACCCTTTATGCCAAGCCATAAGCCATGTTTTGCAAACTAAAGCGAGTGTGATCACACTTTATACTAACCTGTAAGCTGTGGTTTACAAACCCATGTGGCTGGGTTCACACATGACGCAAAGCCAGCATCAGCCAATGCAAACCAAGAGCGCCCTAGTAAACGTCCCTGGCAACCCTGGGGCTTTCCGAGGGCCATGTCACTCATGGGGAAGCTGGGGGAGAGAGGGTGGCCGAGGACGAGACAGCCCTGGGCTCTGACCTCCTTCCTCATCTGGCCTTCCAGCCTGGCGGGGATCTCGCGCAGCACCACCATCGTCCTGGCCTACCTCATGGCGGTGACGCAGCTGGGCTGGCACGAGGCCCTTGAGGCGGTCAAGGCTGTGCGGCCAGTGGCCAACCCCAACCTGGGTTTCTGTCAGCAGCTGGAGGACTTTGGACGTAGCCAGTCCGTGCAGAAGGTGAGGAACGAGCTGATGCGCCTGGACCCTGAATAAAGCAGCCCCCGCCACCCCATTGCCATGGGTCCAAGCACAGAGGAGCCCCGAGAGCCCCTTCTTCTCCCTGGGAGTTGCCCCCAAGCCATGCTGGGAGTGGTTAGCCAACCCATTTGGAGAGCCCAGGTTGGGGAAGGAGATCTTCCCCTTAAGGAGCAAGGCTGGGAATGCACAGAAGCAGACCGGTGATTCTTCTCCTCCTGTACCCTGGATTAAAGTCCACACTTTAAGAGGCGTGGACTTCAACTCCCAGAATTCCCCTCTGAAAGTGACCAAGGTTGAGAAACACTGGTCTACAGTGAGCACAGGGCTAAGAACTTGCTGGGAGGTGTTATTTAAAACCAAACCTGGAGTTTGCACCCTATAAACATAAACTGGAAAGAATTTGCAAAGCGGTGCCTCCCAGGGACACCCTCCAGCCAGGATTTTCCCGAACTCTTGTCCATTGCCCTGCGTGTCCTTGGCAGATCCGCCGGAGACTCGAACGCAAGTACGGAGGAACCCCTTTCCATGATAGCGAAGCCGTCCGAGTCCTTCTGCCGTCCAGCCAAAGGCAGGAGCCCCCCAGCACCGAGAGGGCTTTGCAGGCCCTGGGGCCGAAGAGCAGAAGCGTAAAGCACATCGATTCCTTTCTGATGCGGGTGAAGGAGACGTGTTCCTGTTTGCCAGGCTGTCTTAAATGAGACTTCCTGAGGCCTTTGGAAAATGCAAGGAGACTCCCCACAGTGGGCTCGTAAAGGCAGCGCCTGGCTGAGAAGATGGCATCGGAGGAGGGAAATGCAGGGACCAGGCGGAGCTGGAGAAGAGAAACTGCAAAAGGTTGGCAGTGCCAGGCAGAGCTGGCTTGCTTTCTGCTGCTCCAAACCTATAGCAACTGAGGAGGTGGTTACTCCCCAGGAACCCCAAAGCCCCACTGGAAGCACCCCAAAAATGGTGGACTGAAATCCCAGGACTTGTGAATTATCTGGAGATCCGGACTACCCAGACGAGAGATTTTTGGCAGGAATTGGCAGCAAAACTAGAACCCTACTCTTTTGAATAAAAACGGAGAAGCAAACCAAAATGTAACAAGAGATGATTTTGACACAGAAAATAGCTTCTTGTCCAGATGGTGGCCCGATGGTGTGGGTTTGGGGGCAGCTCTGTTCCCACACCTTTTAGGTTAGTGGCACATCTAGTGGCCGCACTTGCGCAGAAAGCAAAGCCCGGCTGGGTTGAGCATCAGTTGGGTATTTTATGGCTTGGCCCGTGAGATTCGTTTATGGCCCAAGGTATTGTGCAGATTCAGAAAATGGGTTCGTTCAAAGACCAAATGAAGGGTGGTGGGTGAACTCAGCCATTCTGCCTGCTGATAAGAGACAGAAGGCCTTTTTCCGTGGCCAAATTAAAGAACTGTTTTATTAGTTCTCGAGTTCAGGAAATTGGCCTTTAACACAAGAATAAAATCTGCTTCCTTCACTGCCAACCCCTATCCTGCCACGGGTGATGCCAGCAAATGAGTCTGCCCTTGTGTGTGATACCCAGGATATGTTAAAGCAGTGTCTCTCAACCTTGCAACTTTAAGAGGTGTGGACTTCAACTCCCAGAATTCCCCAGCCAGCCCCACAAAGCCCTGGCTGGCTGGGGA